TGCTTAAGATATTCACACTATCAATGGAAAGTGGGGAGTATCCTAGCGAGTGGAAAACTAGCTTTAAAATTCCTCGCTACAAGTCCGGTGACAAAGCTAATGTTAGGAACTACAGACCTATCAACATAACTCCAGTCGTCTCCCGAATCATAGAAAAAGTGATTAAGAGCGGCATATCTGACTACCTACTTAGCGAAAACCTCATCACAAAGTCTCAGCACGGTTTCATTAAAAACAGGTCTTGCGTTACTTGCCATTTCGACTTCTTCAACCTTATCACTAGTAGCCGTGAGGCACGTAAAATCGTCATTGTTCTATACTTTGATATATCAAAGGCATTTGACAAGGTGCCACACAGTATTCTCTTTGATAAGCTACAATCGATTGGCATCCATGACCCTTTACTTCATTGGCTAAAATCATTTCTTAGTGATCGGAGCCAAATCGTCCAAGTAAATTCTATGCAGTCTACACCTAGGCTCATAACTAGTGGAGTAATACAGGGTAGTGTCCTTGGACCTTTGTTGTTCATAGCTTATATTAATAGTGTGTGCAAGTGCTTCACTGTAGGGGAAACATTCCTATACGCTGATGACCTTAAGGTTGTATACTCATGTCACACCCATGAACTAGGTAATACGCTATCTACTGCTCGACAAGAATTAGGTGAAGTTGCTAAATGGTGTGACGAGTCCCATCTCCAGTTCAACATTGATAAATGTGGTTGGCTTGGCGTAGGCAGCGATAACCTAGATGTGTCTCTCGAAGTATGTGGGCAAAAGCTACCTAGACGTTCTTCAGTGCTAGATCTTGGTCTTAGATATTCCAGTGACTTAACATTCTCTGAGCAGACGGCTTGTATCACATCTAAGTCACGTAGACTCCTTGGATGCATCGTCTGTAACTTTTATAGCACTGAATCAAGGGTCCTACTCTACAAAGTGAGCATCCTTCCCATTTTAGAGTACTGCCCGTTCATCTTAAGTGGCCTTCGTATAAGCGACAAAGGAAAAATTGAAGGAGTACAACGCCACTTTACACTAAGAACGCTAGGAGCTGACTGCAGCCTAGACTACATCTCGAAATGCAACATGCTAGGACTGGAACCTCTCTGGAAGAGGCGACTTAGAATGAATCTTACATTTTACTAAAAATTACTTCATAAGCAAGTGCACTCATGTGGCCCGGAAATTAAAATAGTTGTAACATCTACTCACTATTTGCGTAATCACAACCTATTAGCGGAAAATGAGTGTTGTAAGACCAAATCGAGAAGAAACTTCTTCATCAATAAGTTCTCTCACATCTGGAAAAGACTTCCTGAGGAAATACGTACCGCATGCACATTATCCACCCTTCGTTCTGCACTTAATAAGCCCCTAACAGATGATCAGTCTATCACTCGCACAGGCACCATATATACGTTCTGGGCTAATGAAAGCATACTAGGACCTCTAAACGTATAGAGTAAAGCTATCATAAATCTCAAGTACTTTTTACCTCAATGGACTCATAAAGGGTGTTTGATTACTAGTCCATCTGGTCGGATTGTGCAGTACAAATACATAACCAGTGTTCCCTTTAAGTTTGCCAACAAAAACTGCCTATCTAATAACTCGTGAGAACTTCATATAAGAAAAAAAGGAAGATTCATTCTCATATGAATAAATTAAAGTTTACATATAGCTCGAATGACTTTAAAAAGACAAGAACTTCTCTCCTCCCGGTTTGTTTAACGTGGTATTCAATTGTCCAGTTTCTCCTTGCGCTTTCTTTTCTTTTTCTTTCAGTATCAGCCTGAAGAGAAAGTCCTAAGCACTAGTTTGATCAAAACGTATCAACTTACTGGAAATCCTACTTCGCACCTAGTACTGGAAACTGATGTTAGAGGCATCCAACTGGCTCCCCCTGATTTCCCATTTTCATGTTTCTTGAACAGCTTAACAACCAACTCACCCCCCTACTAGTACCCTAAATGCTACCACATACGAAACGCAAGCACAATAACTGGTCTCAGATTTCTGGTTCGTGACAAATGCAGCGGAAATCTGGATAAACAATCCAACCCGAGAGATCACTTTACCTAACGGCAACACATCCATAATAATGCTATGCAACAGATTTCTCTAGTACTTTGTCTTGTATCAATCCACCTAATAGAAGTCAATTAACAGCCAATGTATCTCCTTGACAATGTTGCATACTTTAATGTGAAGTCTATGAAGTTTTACACATGTGTAATATTCACCACTGTTGAACGACGATTCTTCCACTCTTTAATTACTTGCACCACAACAAATGTTTTCAGTACTATCAGTCTGAATTGCTGGAAAAGGTAACACTTGAAGAGTGAGAAAGGCCTGGACTTAGACATTCACCTGGATTAAATGATTGTATGGATACTTACTAATTCCTGAAATCATTGAAGTAAGTTATAATCGGTCAGTAAATCTACGAACATAAGAATTACTGTTAAAACTGACTTTTATCTGGCGAAACACCGGGTCTTGTAAATGGGTCAATGATATCGACCACTCACAACGCAAACACCAAATATTGCACCATTTGATGTGAAGAAAGAATTGTGAGCAGGAATGCCTTAAACTCAGAACGATGTGTATGTACTGTAAAGTGATATTTTCCTGCTACTTTCATAACATTTAGACACTTGGTATCATGAAAGAGTTCAATTTCCTCCCTCTGTATTATTCCATACTACCAAAACCTTTTATGTTTCTCCGCAGTTATCAACCTGATGAGGCCTGTAAACTGGCTTCTCTCATGTTCGATTCATAACTTGAGAATAAATATATTTATTTATTTATTTAAATGTTAGATAGTAACCCTTTCGCCACACAACAGTAGTGAATGGTAACACGGGTACCGTCACACAGTATGAGCTTTAACCAGGTAAATGTGACTGAGCGTGAACGCTTCAGTCAATGAGCCGCATAAACAGTAAAAGTACACAGAATACCAAATGCCGAGCATAGACAAAGCTGAAAAATGTGAATGTTCGATAAGTTTTTGCTGTTTAGTGGATCTTAGCTTTTTAATTAAGCCAACCTACAACAAACAAATACGAACCGAAAAAAAACGCCGAACCGGCCGGAGCAATTTCCTTAATCCAGAAGTGTTTTGAGTGAAGTCATCCATCGGTCACCTCCAATGAACAGATAAGTACTATGGTGTTCACCACCGAAGAAAAGTTCCAACCGTATCGAAACAGTTAAGAAAGTGGACGGGAGAGCTTCAGCCTCTTGTATCTCGCGTCAAACTCACGCCAGACACAGGATAAAGCCTTTTATGGTCAGTCGCCTTACCTAAAAATCTCTGGAAAAAGTATATGAACCAATGTGTATCTGGTTGGTTGAACAGGTGAAAAATCGACAGAATCTGAATATGCTATGCCTGGAAAATGGCCTAGGCCATCGCAGTTTATATAAACCGGAGGTTCTGTACACGTTTTGGTGGCTGACATCGTCGTCGACGCTGTTAATGCACCTTTGGTTCCATTACCACCTTCATTTCTGCTGAGGAAATGAGTGGACGTTAAGGGTGAAATCTGAAGTCTATACCAAGTCACTAATAAGGATATATAAAACTGGCGACTGAAGTTATATAAAACTGGAGATAGGTTAAAGTACAGCAATTCTTTCTGCTGAAAAATTTTAGGCTCTCTTGCGGCGCTACAATGAAAGAATAAAAGCGGGATCACTGAGGATTGTTGAGAAACCCAAGTAAATGTTGGTTGACATCCGGCTTGAATCTACATCCTTAAGTCCTCATATATCGAGAAAGACTTTTCGTGAATGCTTCAGTGGTGGATATAGTGAAGCTGAAAATGAGTTCAAGAGGCCTGTTAATATAAATCACATTGCACTGACCGCGATATTAACCCCTCCACTACACCAGACGAAATGGTAAACGATGTGGATATCCAGTCAGATCATGTTGGTGATAACCATGAAGTACTTGTCGAGAGTTCGCAAAATGGTGGAACATACTTTATGCCGCCCAGCCTTCCTGCGACTATGCCTTACAATGAATATGCAACAAAGGTTCCCAAGGAGTACCAGTGCAAACTCAAACACCAACATCGAAAAGGCAAAGAATGCGCTTAACACCGTGGACAATTCATCTTGTTCACTTTAAGCCATCAGAAGAAAAGAGGCGACCTAACAACACCCAACGAGATAACCCACCAACCGGACTATCTAGGCACCATGGACCAGAAACCAGCCGTATCGTAGGGACCCACTCGCTTACCCCACCGTACGACAAAGGCGGGGATATGACGTAACTTTTCGCACGAAAAGGCGGCTTGTGAAACGCTGCACTGTAGGAAGTAGCCACAACTATTTCGGTCGACTCCCTCAAACGGCTGCTGAGTAACAACGTGAGCACAAACGGCTTAACACCAACAGTCACCAGAAGCAACTGAAGACATGCTTATCCATCCCTGCACTCCCGAGACCTTGCAACTGCAATAAGGCCCATATTTCTCCGTATAATTACCAATAACACTTATGTTTTCAAAAGTACTTTCATCCCTCTTTCCTTCTCACCACTTTGCCTCTTTATATCAATATCTTTTAAATAACACTCAATATGTATTCGCAGTTGCTCAAGAAACAGGAACTGCAAAAGGTTATTTGATCTTATCAGGGCTCCATTGCTCCCCAAACAGACCAAGCTACAATTCTTGAAAAAGTACTCCGGAAAAGACAATCACCAGCTCAAAAACTGCAAGCTTTGAAAACATGCAGAACTCTCTTACAACCGTAAAAGAATAACCGGACAAAAAGAACCGAGCCTTAATAACTTGAAGCGAGAGCTCAAAAACTAAAAGGTACCCCCACTCACACTTTTGATAAAGGAGGATGGAAAAGCACCAGTAAATCAGAACACCCAGATGTGAAAGCCTGTAAACTCGGCAGTTCCCTATCCAAGCACAACTAGGGCTTCTTGTTTCAAGTTTTAATGGGCTCGAAAACTTCGTCCTTGGTTTCTGAAATCTTATGAAGACTCAAGGTCACTGTCTCTCACAGCTTTTTGATGCGAAGTTCCCCGGGAAGCTCGATGACACTTTAGTAAATAGGCTGTGCAGATCGATAGTATGTCAAAATAAACACCATTTAGAATTTTGGTCTCGATTATCGGCTTGCGAATGGGACCTCATTTCGAAACATGCTACTCGATGGAATAGTAGTTATGAATACACTGTTGAGTTACATGTTATCCTTAAAGTTGCAGTATCTCTTTCTTTTCGCTATGGTTTGTTGATTGGTAATGAGGAGGAGGGTCCACACAACATCATCTTGTATGCTCTTAACTTGTCTGACAAGCGAGTCAAGATTATACTCATTGAAGCTTTGGCTGGTTGTTTGGAGGGTATTGTGTCTTTAGATGATTTGAGAGTTGTATTGTGGATCTTTACACCAACTTTTATGTCAGTTCTTCACACTTTGTGTGATGAAACCAATGTACATGTATTCAAGAACATTGTCACTGTGTGCATATGTTTTTCTTCACATTCTCTTGAACAACAAAGCTTGGGTAGATCAGCAACCTTTCAATGAATGTTTTAAGTTGTCTCATTTCGGAACCGAGGTTTTATTTCTCATGGGGCAATTGATACATAAGTTTGGCGTATATTTTGACCCCTTAACAATTCCTTTTGAATTTCAATTTAGCACGAACACATACAATTCATTTTCTTCAGAGGTTCAAGTTAAGTTGCTTTATTTGGCTTTCACCAATGTTATAAGCACCCCATCGAGCAACGGTGAATGGATTTCTTTCTTAAAGTCCTTGGAAAACTTTCCTGAGCTTTGTGCTTCTGTCATCAATTTATGTTTTAAATCTAAAAGAACACTTTGTCCTGAATTATGGGATTTCATTGTGAAAGAATGGGCTACAGCTCTACAAAGTCGTTTTGAAAACGGTATGTCAGACAGCATATTATGCGTCATAACTCCTGTATGTCAATATTCAGAAGCTATTCTTCATCTAGATGCTGGTAGTAACCTATTAGAGAAAATCATATCAACTGTTACAAACTTTCATTACTCCCTTAAGGGTTCTTGTGTACAGAAGTGTCGCACTCGTTTATGGATTTTGTCGCGGATCTTAATTCGTTGTTCACCTTGTTTGATCACTAAACTACCTGACATAATTGGTGTGGTAGATTTTCTAATATCAGTGTGCACTGCCCCTTACATAGAATCTGTGACCTTTGAAGTGAATGCAGCGTTCAACTTTTTTAAAGAATTTTGTCTTCTGTACTGGGATTCGGAGAAGTCACTTACGATCAATCTTATCACTAAATTTTTGGATTCACTCTTAACTTGTCAGAATTCCAGAGTGTTTTCTACGTTTCTACTCCCCCTACTCCAAAGTCTTCAAAAGTTATCTACCAAGTATGGATGTTTAGAGGTTTACTGTACATTTTGGACTTTCCTTTTTAAAATACTAAGTAAGGCTCAAAGTGAGTTCATAAATCAGTCAGTTGTATCATCTTGTATTCATAATGAAGGATTGCTAGAAACTGTTATAACAGTGTTAAAGCTCCTAAGCTGTGAAGTGTATATATCACTATGGACAAGTGAGTGTCGACTACTGTTTTTGAATTTCGTTAACAACGCTATATCAGAACTTGGTATTGGTAACTTCATAAGTGATGTTTGCTTGCGTGGGCTCATTCTTTCGGCTTTCATCATATTTATGGTCAGTGAATATCATGATAATTGTACACATCTTGAGTCAAAAGATGTACAAAAGTTCCATGAGTGGACTTGGAACTCTTATAATTATTTGATTGATTTTGATGTAATGGAAATAACAGAATCAAAATGCATCTGTGAAATATTGTGGAATAAAATTAAATACCTTGAAGAGGTAAGTTTGTTGATATCTGATTGAACAGACTTGGAATTTGTTTACTATTTCAATCATATCATGTGGTCACTACTTTTGAAAAAATGCTTGACGCTGTAAAATACTATGTTCCTGAATTTATTCTTTCCAAACCTTGAACTAAGTAGTTTGTCAGTTCTCACTTTAACGACATCACAATATTTTCGTTGGAACCATAACTTATTGCAGATAAGCACTTATTCTGCATCTTTTTCCCAATGGAAGTAGATTTTAATGCATATATTGCATAGTTCACCACAGAAACAAGCCTTTTAATTCTGAAGTTGTGTCTGAGCAGCTGGTTAGGATGAAGAAGCTCCTATCAAACTAAGGTTATGCAGTTAATATTGTAGTTTGGTCTCCAGAAATTGAGATGCGTTGTAAGCGGCATAAACATCTACTTACAATTTGACAAGTATTCAAGGTGAATGGAAGTTAAATTTCTTGTGTTTAAAATCTTTTATTTACTTCGTGTGTCATAACAATAGGACCAGGTGGTATTGCAAATATCGCCCTTCAAAGAACTAGCCATTCTATTACTGGTAGAAAGAAGTGGGTTCATCACATTCGCCATATGTCTTTTTCTAGGACAGTAGTGAACAGTTTATTATCTATGTGGTAAAGTTTAGTGTATACTGCGTTTGGTTCAGTCACCTGCATTATTGTCTCACTTTATATCCTGCCATCATTATTTAAGTGCAGATCTTTAAAAGTCTTACACTTCAGGTTTGCACAATGACAGAAAGCAATGCTTGGTAGCGAATCCTAAATAGATGGAAAAGGAAGCTGTGATAGATAACAGTAGGCAATTATTTGAACTTATTAAGGAAACTGGGGCAAAAAGGTGGGTAGTTAGTGATACTGTAGCTCGAAAGGATGAATCTATGATTCAATCACAGAAGAGACGACTGGAACGATAAGCGAAACAATTGGAGGAAGCGTTTAAATGGCCTCCAGCTACTATCCGTTGCTCACTATCAAGTCAAATCTTGAGTGGAATGGTAAGATAGGACTCCTAACATTTTCAGAAGTCAAGAAAGCTGTAAGCAATCTGAAAGGAGAGATACCGACAAGATGAGACAGACTGGACCGGCAATATTTAATAATAGTGGTTGCGGATTATTAGTTAGGTTAACTGGAATGTTAGCTAGTGTATGGGAGTTGGCTATCATCTCTCCGGACCCCCCCCCTCCCCGTGATCACTGCTTGTCTCAGTGTTACAGAAAGGTGAGGAATTATTTGTGGTAGCCGCAGAGGAATCAGCCTAAACGATATATATATATATATATATATATATATATATATATATATATGGGTTTTATAATTACCACACGTCTAAGGGGAGCTAGGTGACAGAAAACCGGACAGGGTTAAAAGTTTATCATCTGTGCACCGATTGAGTATTCACTTTTCACCAAACACACTAACCAGCGCCTGGAAGTAGATATATTTCTGGACGTAAAGTCGGCATTCAACTTTATCGACAAAGAGGCTTGATGCCAGTGTCTCTCACTGAAATAGGTGTAGAGTAAGTACACCACTCTTGAAAGCTCTGTAATTGAACACCTATGAGTGCCTTGGGGCCAGTGATGAGTTATCAGATGAGCTGTTTGTGTCGAGTGGTATCCCTAAGGATGCCCACTCTCTCCATTGTTTCAAAGTCTACCTCTCGTCGTCTAACTTTGCTGGAATTGATCTTGTGACGGCAGAATCTTCAATGGACTTAGAGTGTGCAAATGACGTAGCCCTGTTGGTCGAAGACGCTGACAAGATGCAAAGCCTTTTGGGCATCTGAGATAACAATTTGAGAATGTTTGGGGTGCATTTCTCATTACCCAAATGTAAGTTGTTGCTGCAGGACTGGTCTTCAGTAGTGCCCCAGCTAACAATAGGGAGTGAAGTGGTTAAGTGCGTTGACCGATTCACTTGCGTGAAAAATTGGATCGAGTTTGGTGGATCAGTAGCCAGCGAGATATCTGCACGGATGCAAAACGCTCGCTTGACTTTCATCAATTTACGCCATTTATACCTTCACCATAATATTTGAAGGTTGAGTGTGTTGCAATGCGTTTCGCTCTGTTCTATTGTATGTCTGTAAAAAATGACCATTAAATGTAGAGGATATTGGGAGGCTTCATGTGTTCGACCACCGTTACCTTGTTAGCATAGGTCGTGTATCGTGACATCATTACGCCAGTAGCGCAGAAGTCAGGTGTAGAGTTTGAAGTAGGGGAGAAAAGTTGGATAATGCGATTGTGCACCTTCGTCGACTCATGGCCGCGATATGTGTTACGCATGCCTAGCCACCATCTGCATCGTCACGCAATGTTAGCTGAAGTAGGCTTAGGATGGAAAAAGGTTACAAATAGTTGGCCACATGAGAACATGCCATCAGTGCATGAAGTCTTTGACTGTTGGCGTGAGCTGTGTAAGAAACTCAGGGTAGCCGGTTGAGGTCGACGTACGAACAGAAACCAGGGATTTGAGATTCTAGGTGATGTCAATGGCGTCCTGTCCTCATATGATATTAGTCGCCATATTGAATTTAGCATATTCTCATCCCCCTTCCTCTCTTTTACAACTCCTATCCGATTTTTATTTCTTTCATCATCTTCCATCTTATTACTTTGTTACTTCATATGCGGACATGATGTGTAGCAACTTGGACCATCCTGGTCATGTTTTGACATTGATTCTGCTGTTGTTGATGCTGATGATATATTCTTCATGAATGTTTCCATTTTTTCATCCTATTTAATGGCAGCAGTGGTCATCCTGAGGAAATCTGGCCTAATATAAAGTCTGCTGTAGAAACAGTGGTAAAGATAGCTGGTAACCTACACCTAAGTTTAGCAAACACTATCCGAACTGATTGTTGTGAAAGACAAATTCCAGCTCTGACCACAATGAAGAGTAGAAGCAGCTTATATGTAAATTGACTAAGAGTCTTCACAACGATCGCAAGCAGTAGTGGCTGATGAGAATGAAAGAGTTAGGGAAGACATCAGCGTTAAGTGACAACCGACTATTATTTAAGTCTATTAAAGATACCAGCAAAATGATGGTGAGTGAGATATAGGAAACTGATGACCTCCTAGGACAGGTGGCTATAATGTTTGGTGCAGCACTTTGAAGCACAGTTCAACTGGCCAGCAGCAACGTTTCAGCTGCCCAAAATTCACCTAAATCTGAATGGGATGTAGATAGCGGTCCACCAACTATCCTCGAAGTTAAAAGCTGTATTGAACGTGAAGCGACGCTAAGCAGAAGAAATGCCAAGTTCATGTTCATATTGTCTGACTGACTGAATGTTGGTGTGGCAAACTTATGTCTATGTTTCACACCCACTTTCATGTTTTGAAAATATTTAACCTGCTCCTAAATTGAATCTTTGGCACATTCATCAATAATTTTGCACACACATACACTGAATAGGAGTGACTCTTTGAAGCAGCATTAACCTGACACCTTAGTACATTAAGCTAAACAGTATTGTTGTACATTAAAAAAGTAAAATATTTGAATGAACTTTAGAAACACATGACAAGGAGAAAGACTATAAGATGATACGATGTAGAAGAAATTAAGAAGTTATTCGAAATATTTGACACTTATCTAGTCTACCTTGTGGACCTAATAAACTAAGATTTTATGTAATATAGACCGACTTTTAGTGACTTCATTATAAGCTGTTTTTTTCTTATCCTGACTTATCATTACCCTACTGTAGTATAGATCTTTTTATTTTCGTAGACTGATTAAGCATTCCAATACATCTTATAATCACTTAACTGAATGCGGTTTATCAGCCCTAATCGAGTTTGTATATCTAATCTAACTAGGACTTTATGTCCAATTTCAGCATTTTCTGTCAACTGGTTCGATTTATGTAACTCCATCTTTTGAAAACATTAGGCGTTAAATATCTGTTCTAATCTTAAGGTGATGCAAGTACACAGGAGTTTAAGATACACTTTTTGACTGAAATAATCATATACAGTTGCATCTACATGTGTAAGTTGAATCGTTCTACATTGCTGCATCGCATGATAATTGTGCTGGTGCTCTCTGTGAATAGCTTTTTTAAATATTATGAAGTTTATAGAAGAGATAATTTGTGATTAACTTATGAGGGATAACAGATAAAAGTCAACGTCAAACCTAGCACACAAGTACATTGGTTCAAGTTTCCATACTTCACAGTACCATCATGCAAAGAACAACTAGACAAAGAAAGACTGATATCAAAGTAGACAAAGGTGGATCAGAGAAGGAATTTAAAAGTGAAGGTCAGTGAAAATATTCAGCCTCTAGAGACGTCAAAGCGTGAATAAATCCGCACTATTATGAGCGATTTTCAGCTATGTCACTAAAAATCTTCTACCATTTATTCCTAGGTCTTGCGGACCCAAGCCAGGAAGTCTACACCCCCCATACGGCTCAGACTAAAGGTTAGAGACTTCATGCACTGGTGTTACTTCGTATTCTGATGACCCTGAACCCTCTTCCGACCTAATCCAATTTCCCCAAGCATTGCGCATCGAGATAAGTGGTAACTCAACATGCGCAACACATGTGCAAGTTACCGAAGTCGATGAAGGTTCACAACCTTATCGATCGACTTCCCTTCCTTGCTTAGCACCTTTCACCTGACCTCTCTATTGCTCATATGACGATTCAACCATACATGAGCAACGCTTTAAAGACAACTATGACCAAAACCCTGTGGTTTCTTCATGTATTCTACTTTCAGCAGCCATGTCTTAGCTGTATGACAGGACAGAACAAACTGCAGCACAATATAATCGTTACTCCAACAAGTAGTTAGATATCTCATCGGTGCCAGAGGTGACACTTAGTAATCAATATCCACCTTTCAACCACTTTTAACTACTTTGTTCTTTATTTCTTTGTCTTTCATCGTGATAAATTCTCGCTTAAAACAGTAATTAGAGGTTCTTTTTTAATTTTGTCTGCCTTTAACATAAATTTTACTCAGTAATCACGTTTATACTCAAATAAGAGGCTATTAGCACACCTACTCTTGTTTTAAGACTAACAGTACAGGTACTACCTGGCTGCTCAAACTAGACAGTTTTTTTAAATGGAATAATAACATCACTGGGCAATAACCCCTTATATTTTATTTATTTTCTATAAACTATACATACATCTGACTTCACAGGTATTGATCTGGTTGACTTGGAGTATGCAGATGATATTTTCCTGCTAGGTGAAGACGTTAACAAAATACAGTGTCTTCTGAACGTGTTGAGCAGAAATCTGAGTATGCTTGGTATGCTTCCCTACTTGTGAAATCTAAGATGATGCCTCGGGACTGGTCCGCAACCACTCCCAGTTTAATCATAGGGAGAGAGGTGCTCGAATATGTCAACCATTTCACTTACTCGGGGGGTTGCATCACCGAATGGGATGTCAGCTCAGGTGCAGAAGACCGGTTCTGCATCTGCCAACTTGGGTCATATTTGGAACCAACTGGCGAGACATCCGATTATCTATCAGAAGGTCAACATATTGCACCGCAGTCCGTTCTGTTCTGTTATACGTCTGTGAGACATAGTCGTTAAAGGACATGAAAGGGTCACAAGTGTCCTCGTAGCATTGATCGAGTTTGGTGTAATCACTATGTGAGCATTGTTGTGGTCAGACGAAGAATACTGTTGAAGACAGGCAAGTCGATTGACGAGGTAGTGAACGGTCATTGACTGAGGTGGCTTGAAAATGTACTATGCCTGCCGATCCACTGCCTACCTCGACATACCGTGCTAGAGGAAGTTAGATTAAGTTGGAAGAGGGTTCAAGGATGGCCAAACCATGACGTGTCACCAGTCCATAAATTCCCTGACCTTTAATCGGAGCCATGTTGGGAAATGTAGACTAGTTGGCTGCAGTCCCTAAGACGGTAGAAAACAGTGATTGTGGAGGACTCTTGGTGGCATTGCTAAGAATCGGTCACAGTGGCGCAAATGTATTCACTCTTTAACGTCTCCTAAAGCTTTAATATTTGTGTACTACTATGATGTGATGTAACAAGTTGAACCGATGCACTTGTCTACGAGGTTCTACATTGACTTTGTTTGTCAAACTATAAATGCTAGTTATACAGTGTAGCCTTTCGTTTTGTTTTAATTCCTTTTTGTCTGCTTTTTGTTTTTGTGTCAAGGAGTCTGAGAAATGTTCAAATGATTTATGGAAAAGAATTGTAGTATCACTCAAGACCAAATGGGATACAAACTTAGGCGAACATTATCTATTATCTATCCAAGAATCATCTAATCAGTACTGCCCAAATTGCAAAGAAAATATTGACGAATTGCTTGATGATATTATGATATCAAGTACCAGTAACATGATTGCTGATTGTACAGAAGGTTGATATGAAAAATGTTGTACGTATTTTCAAAACTTATACATATACCAAGCTTTTTCTTCCTTGACTATCTGTTTATGGGTGATAAGTCAAAATCGTCCTATACTTGTTAAAGTTTACTCTTGAGCGAATTGTATTCTGCTTTTCTTTCTAATACAATGAACATGTCACTGATGCTTGCGAATGGATATCCTGAAGTTCTGTTGCGAAGTTTTGACCTATGGAAGTGAAGCGAATACTAACTGAAGACTTTGGTTGGTAGTCACGCTTTATCACCAACTGACAGGTGTAGGAGGCTGTGGACCATTGAAATCGGACCCAGTGGCTGAGCGTTTAATGCATTCGCTGTAAAACTTAAATGTTGTGGGCTCGATCCCTGATGAGTGCGCATTGCTGACGAATCCCATGCTAGGACGAAACAGCCATCCAGTTCTCCCAGATTTTCAGTGGTTCCCCAGCTGATTTCATTCCGTGATGAATACTACTTCAAAGATACAACTTAGCCTAATTCAACGATTTAGGTAATAATTATAATTCCCAACATTTTGATTCGTTTTCTTACTAGAGAGGCTTTGTTCAGAGAGCTTGGTTGATAGGATGTTAAGTGGTCAGTGTAAATAATGGTGATCTGTATCCTTTTGTGACCCATGTTCTTGTCTAATTTTGTTCAAAACCCTTCCTATACAAAAATATTCGTCTACCAATCAAATCGCATCAATAAATCTCTGCTATTGTTGTTTTCGTCCTACCGACTTAATAGTAATATAGTCTTTAAAATCTACATTATTCATACTAGGTTTTACAACGTTATTCTCTCATGCTATAATGGAATGTTATGGATATGATCTTTTGAGTTCCCTGACCTACTTTAGAATCCTGAATTTTCTTATAGCACCTCTGGTAATTTTATAAATGACATATGTGAATTTTTTGGCTGTGGAAATCAAAACACCCCGGCTGAAATTTTGTGCAATAGACAGGGAGTCGCACATATTGTATGAAGGCTAATGATACTATTATTTAGTTGCTTAAACCTTGTAGGTGGAGGAGCGGGGTTCGAACCCCGTCACCCATCGGTTGGAAGTCAAATAGCTAGTATGTGCAAACGTGTTGATAATAAAAAAAAGACAATATTAAGTATTTATATGTTAATGATCAGACAGTAAATAACAGAACAATCTGATGGATTTCTTCATGAACATTAGAAATACTGACTGCAGTGACTAACCGGTTGGTACATGGAAAATGAAACAGCTTGTTCAAGTGATAAAGTGTTACTGTTCATAGTACTTTGGGTATCATTGTGCATTGGTTAAACTGCAATCTCATTGTCTTCAATGATTTCCACTTTCTTCATTCAGGTCAAGTTGTCTTTTCGGTGAAAAACTCCCATCGTGTATTTTGAAAGACTTTTTTATTCTTAACTGAGTTTTCGATTCTGTGTAATAATGCAGAAGAAGATTATTATGAAGATTACGAAGATCCTTACATAATCACTTTCGTCAATACCTTTACAGAGACTTCCATGTGTACCAGTTATCTATATAGTGGACCTTTCAAATCTGTTTCTTCCCAAATGTACTGGATAGTGGCTAACGGTGTGACACGAGAGGCATGTTTCTTTCCAGTTGGAATTCATCAGCTGTAGGTATTGTGGAAGTAAGGCTCATTAGCTTAAGTATTTGACTTTCAGGCAATGGATCTGAGCCCAGATAATGCTCTATCCACTTTAACCTACACAATAAAGTGGTGTTTCAAACGTTCGGTAGAATCTGCTGCCTACTTGATCAGAAGAGATATCCCACCAAGTCAGTGACTAACGCATAAATAATCTGAAAGATAAACCGAGAGGGATGACAGCTTCTTAGATACTTGTCTTATTGAAACATGAATTCAGAGGTGAAATGATCGGTTGGGTTAGGTATCCAGTGTTCAAACAGTTTTTGACAAGACACTTAGCGAGTATAGGTTGGCCACTGGAGAGAAGCCAATTCTGTATTGTCTAATTCTGAGTACTGACTAAATTCTATCGATCACTTTGCAATGCGGCCACCAAGCTCATCATTACGATACATTTTGATCGATATTACTTGGTTGGAGGCAGTTGCCAGGAAGCTGTGCCTAACCTATATTTTATATTTGTTAGCTTTCGTGAACAAGGGGTATCTGTAACCTTGTGAGAACTGATGTCCCGCCTGAAACTGGGACCCGCGTCACTCTGAGTTGAAGCTAGCGATGTTGCTGCTGAGCCAATCAGGATGTAAGACTATCCTGTGTTCGACAGTCAACCAATCCTGAGTACAAGAAGTAACGATAAACTGTTCGATTCCATCGCTTTCATGTGGATTTATCAGTTTGACTGCTCGTGTGGAGCTAGTTACATAGGGTGAACAACTAGGGGAATCTATCACTGAACTTCTTATTTATCCCCTAATCACTAATGATGGGTGATGCTAAGAAGGAATTAGAAGTTACTTACTTGCTCATTCAGTGAACACAGATAACCAATTTGACTTTTGTCGCATCCAAAGAGTTTTTCAATTCCCTGTGATTTTGACAAGGTCAAGTTTTATTGATGCGATTTGATTGGTAGACGAATATTTTTGTATAGGAAGGGTTTTGAACAAAATCAGACAAAACATGGGTCACAAAAGGATACAGATCACCATTATTTACACTGACCACTTAACATTCTATTAACAGTCACTATAAAAAAACCGTTACAAAAGTGTCACTAACTAACAACATATATGTTACTAAATAACGTGAATAGTTAGAAATCAGAGGTTGTGATATGCAGATCATTCTCTCTGGTTGATGAGATATTCAGAGCAGTGTAAGTTGTTCGTATCTTCTGGTTTTGTCCAGTGATGTAATGGTTTAACACCTGTTGCTGCATTACCTCTCTCTGAATGGCGTTTGAGGAGTTATACAACTTAGTGATAGATCTTAGCCTCCGTCTGAAAGTTGTACTATTTGAGTCCCTTCCGTACGATAAAAGTGATGAAGGGAGTTATCTTTGAGATTTATTATACAGTAGGCTTCAACGTTATCTGTTTTGTAAAACAGTGTAAAAAACTTCATAGGATACCCGTCCCCTGTAATTATACCAGCCGGTAGTAATCTAACATCATCTATTGTATCTAATGTACAGATATGTTGAACTCTATTGAATAGGCATTTTTCAAGTTTCGATTATATCGCGTAGAACAAAAGCTGTAAAAACTCACATATTGTTTTGTCCTTTTAAGCTTACTGTAGATCGATTGAAAAGATGTTCTCAAACCTAAAAGTAGTGAATCGTACTACCCCTAACAACAGACATAGAGTGGAAAAGTTGTAAGCTGGGTTCCCATCAACCGAAAACAAGATTCAATCCTTTCCTTTCCTCTCAAATCTGGAGAATTTATGCTCCAGACATTTCAGAGGATGAAATTCAACCTATAAGATAGATGTTTACCGTAAACGGATACCCAGAGAGATTAGTAGATAAAAATGCTAACCATCAGCCACTTATCAACCAGGAGAAGAAAAAGTTCATTTTGAACTTGGAGATCACTAGAGATGCAGTTGATGAGGTGCTGAAAAGCAGACTAATGAAGTCTGTCAAAAGAACATTCCATGTAACCACTCTGCAAATTACTTATACTATTTACCCAGTCAAATACGACTGCTGAAATAATGTTTGAAATGCGGGTCAACGCACTGACGAGGAATACGAAAATAATGCTAAGTGCTACATTTAAGCGAACTTTTATGGACTCCAGCGTAATTTAAGCACTTGTAGCATAATTTAAGCCAGCAGGCGTAAACGCAGCTTTATTTACGCACAATAATCTCATTACCTGCATTCTGTGCCGATTATTTCCGTGTTATTAACGCACTCGTCGCCTTATATACCGACAAATCAGGCCTAGTTTATACACTCCCCGACACCTTTACTGGTTTATTGAAAAGGGATCACTACGTTATGGTAGAGTATATATGTTCATTGCGAATAATTATTAACAAATGTTTTACAAGCTTAGGTTATCATCCATTTTCTTCTCCGGTATCACGGATATTCTGCGGAAAAAGTTTGTGGTGCACATGTAAAACGTGATCTAGTCATCACATGAGACTGAAATTTCAGAAGTTAGCGTGCCTATTCGGTTTGGTCATCCGTCGCGCGAAAAGTTGACCCCTGTATATGGAATAATTCAGCTGGTGTTTTGAGAAGGGAGAGATAAAAGAATTTATAGCATGCACCATTGAACTTACCAAGGCTTTTGGCTTCAAACGCCTAACTACTTTGTCCCGGATGTTATAAAGTAGGACTTTGTAGTAGCATCTACTATACCTTCAATTTCCCGTTGACTAAATAGAGGTCCGGCGAACTTTGAAGTTAATAACAGCTATAAAGAGCATAGTGATAAACGTGAATCTTACATCTCATTATTTTGTAGAAGTTATACTTCACGATCTCAGTCTTTCATGATGTTCCCACCATGGTAATCTGCATGCCGAGATCTGGTTTCTGGACGGTGTTAATCATTTCCTTCAACGATGACTTGGGCTCATGTTGTACCTTTGCCATCATCTTCGTGGTCTGCAAACTTGGACTTTGATAATTGTAACTCACAAATATTCCTCGGGTATACCTGATGGTGAACACATGTGGAAAGAACAAACTATCACTGCTAGTCACTTCAGTATATTCCTGTGGAACTGGGTACACAGACTATATGCAAAGGTAGATTGTCCAACGTCGACGCCATCATGGCTCAGTAAAGGTCAACGCAGATCAATTAGCTACCTCTGTTCCAACATTTAGTTGACAGTTTCAGAAGACTCGTTCGCACTTGTCTAAAAAATGCATTGTAATCTTCCAAAGGGTGTGAGGATATGTTTATTTTGCATTGCTAAAGCTTTGTAAACACAATAATCAAACCCGGAATTGTGTATCCAGGACCGACTTTGCCATTCTCTATCCTTATTCACTTCATAATTCTTAAACTTTCCAGCTCTTATCTCTTACATAAACCTCACTCCTATGTTATTTTCATCACCACAAACTACTGACAATTATTAACCAGTAATATTGACATTTTTGTGTACACTAACTATGTTTAGATTCGACTGAACAGCCGAAGAAGATGGATTCGCCGAAAACAAGTTTTTCATGCCGAAGTCTTTATTCTTTTATGACT